AAATGAACATCGCTGTCATGAATAATAAAGATGAAAATACGTTTTGAGATCGTTTATTTAGAGACTTTGGTAAAAAGGTTTGCAAAGTTATTTTTAATTTTCTTTCAAGTGAAAGGTCCGTCGGGCGTAGCTAGTAACCAAGTCGAGAGTCCGATTGCAAAAGTGGAAGGTCGCGGACCTCGGACCACCGCTAATTTGAACCCCTGCCTCCAAATTGAAAAGATACGAAAATTTCGTCTTCTAATTTGAAATTGCCGCCAACAGCATGAACAGTGGAACTTATTAATAGACTACTGACGTAGTTGTAACACGTATTGACGACAAACAATATTCCTACGACTTTTGCCATTTGGGAAATCTAAACTACTTGTCTTTAAAGATTTTCGGCGATTAAATATTTCATACAATTGTTCTTTGACATCTTTGCCAAAAGCACAGGGGATAATAAACTACATAAGGATTCCTAATGTGCTCTACTTCCTATGTGCAACTTCAAAACTTTTGGGTGGTTCGACGATCATTTAAGGTTTTTTCTGGTCATATTTTTGTAATCCAGAATTAAAAGTATGAAAAAACTATTCAATTAGTTATAAATAACATTATATCCAGCTAGATAATAACAATGGCACGTATTTCAGCATTTATTGGGTAGAACACAAATCTAGGGTGCTCGCATAAGGCAGCTTAACTGCCTAAAAACAGACCAAAACACAAAAACTTAACTATAACCACTGAACCATGAAAATGAGGTCAAGGTCAGATGACACCTGCCAGTTGGACATGTACACCTTACAGTCCTTCCATACACTGAATATGCTAGACCTATTGCTTCTAGTATCTGAGATATGGACTTGACCACCAAAACTTAACCTTGTTCACTGATCCATGAAATGAGGTCGAGGTCAAGTGAAAACTGTCTGAAAGGCATGAGGACCTTGCAAGGTATGCACATACCAAATATAGTTATCCTATTACTCATTATAAGAGAAAAATTAACATTACAAAAAATCTTAACTTTTTTTTCAAGTAGTCACTGAACCATGAAAATGAGGTCATGGACAATGGACATGTGACAGATGGAAACTTCGTAAAATAAGGCATCTTTATCCAGGTCTTCCACCATCTAAAATACAAAGCTTTTATGAAGTTAGCTAACGCTGCCACCACCGGATCACTATCCCTATGTCAAGCTTTCTGCAACAAAAGTCGCAGGCTCGACAAAAACTTAATATTGACCACAGAACCTGTATATGAGGTCAAGGTCAGATAACCCTGCCAGATAAACATGTATACCTTACAATCATTCCATGTATCAAATATAATTAACCTTATTGCTTATGGTATCTAAGAAACAGACTCAACCAGGGGAAAACTTCACATTGATCAATGAACCATGAATATGAAATCAAGGTCAGATGAACCCTGCTAAACAGACATGTACATCTAACAGCTATTTCATACACTAAATATATATTGGTATTTGAATTATGGCTAATAGTATCTAAGAAGAACACCTTACTACTGAAACTTATTGGCCAATGAGCAATAAAATGAGGTCAAGGTCAGATGAACCCTGACAGACACCCATGTACACTTTACAATCTTTCCATACACTAAACATAGTTGGCCTATTGCTTGTAGTGTCATGGAAGAGCACCTAACTACTGAAGCTGAACATTGACCTATGAACCAAGAAAATGAGGTAAATTACAAATGATACCTACCAGATACACAAGAAACCTTACAATCAATCCATACACCACATATAAAATACCTATTGCTTATAGAATAAGAAAAACAGACCAAAAGACAAAATCTTAACATTGATTAATAAACCGTGAACATGAGGTCAAGGTCATAGGCAGTTACTTCAAAATAATTTATAAAAATTTCCATAGAAGATAGATCTTATCATGCTGATCATTTTTTCAGTTTACACTTTCAACCTAGCTCCTACAGGTTTCAAAATATAGGCCAAAATATTCGAAAAATTGAAAAAAATGTATATTTCAGGAGCAATAACTCTAAAACAGGTGGACAAATTTATTTGCAATGTAGACTTTAACCTAACTCCTACAGTGTTTATGATAACAGCCACAACTGCTAATAAAATGCTTCGCCGAGCACAGCCTGACATGACCGCAGAGGTCGAACCCTGAACAGTTGGTGCAAGTTTGGACACAATATTCAAGCTAGATACTGTCTGAATTTGGATTGTGATCAAATTTTTGACATATTATAGGTTTCTGACACAAAATAAATGTGGTGAAAGATCTTAAAAATTTGAAATGGGTTAAAATATTTGTATTAATTTTCAATTGAAGATTTCTTGCTATTGCGTAATACTGTGCAATTGGATATTTCTTGCTATTGCGCAAAAAAAAATAAAAGCATTATACGACACAATAAATTTGGAGGGGGAGGGGGAGGAAGGGGGTGTATCTTTAAGGGGCAGTAACTCCAAAAACAAGTCATTAGATTTTTCTCCAATTTCAGAATGGAAAAATATTGACATGCTGATCATTTTTGCAATTTCCACATTAAATCTTACCCTGATAGTTTTTGAAACAATTGCAAGTTAAAAAATCAACATTTCAAGGGCAATAACTCCAAAATCGGTGGACACGTTTTTTCTCCCAAAGTTTTAACCCTGTCGGTTTTTCTTTCATTACTATAATTTTTGAGATATTAGCCAAAACTGAAGTTTGACCCATAACCTCTACTTTTAGACATCACTGTCATTTTGGTTGATCAACCTGGACTAAGACAAATTTTGTTATGAATCCATAGAGTAGTTTTTAGAGAAGTTTTTTAAAGAATAGTTTAGACGATGGACGACAGACAACAGACAGACTTAAAGTGATGGCAAAAACTCACATGGCTCCTCGGCCAGGTGAGTTAAAAAAGAAATAGGAGGTGCCTACTCCATGTATCACAAGATCATACCTGTCAACCTATGAAAATGAAAATGCAGGTCATGACCTGCATTGAAGAATAAAATCTCAGGTCATAATGCATACGAACTTTTTCCCAGCTGAATTTAAGTATTTAGGGGACATTTTTATTATATTTGAAAACAAACATTTTCCAAAACATGTTTCCATGGTTAAGTATTAACTGATAATAATTTAAAAGGGTTATTATTGCAATGCACTTATGGCTTTGATAGATTAATGTTTATTACTTTAACATTTCAAGTCAAGCCATAACCCATTTTATTATAATCAATTCACCAGTCAAAAGACGAGCGTGTGCATCTTTTTTTTTTTATCTTTATCTATCTACATCTTTTTACATTCTTCCAACAGTTACTTATGGGGGTTAATGACCTTAACTGGCTTTAAAGCCCTCGCACGGTCGGTATTCTTCTAAGAACGGTTGATGTTAGAGTATAATAAAAAAAAAAGTTTTAAACCATTCAAAGGAAGAAGAGATGAAAAAAAAATAATTTTCAAAATATTTATTTTCTTATTGTTCTAAGGTAGAAAAATAATGAAAAGTAATATTCTAATGTGTATTTGCATTCAAGGTTTTTTAGATTTAATTTTTTTACAAAAATAAACATAAATTTAAGAAGTATATTATGAAAGGTGACAAAAAAGAGGAAGTAACTCAATTGTTTTGTGAAACAACTTTGAAATACACAAATTATTTATGACCTAAAGCTAAAGTAATTGGTGTTAATGAACAGTGTGTTTAATACCAAAGCTCTCAAGTGAAGCCATGCACTGAAATTGGTCACTTAATTTGAGTTTACACAGCTAGTTGAACTTCTTGTTCAGGAAGAATTACGAAATTTGCCGGTATTTCAAAGGAAAATCACTTATGAAAATCAGTCTGAAGACTTAAGAATCCGGGTGAAAACCTGTCATTTTCGGAATTCCCGGGTTATTTAACGACCAGGCGGGTATTTAAAAAATCTTGTGTGAGGGGTGAAAATTTCAGGTCACATCCGCAGGATAAGGGTCAGTTGACAGGTATGCACAAGATTCTAAAGAATATTACTATTTTAGTAATTTACCTATAGCTAAAGAGAGATACAGGTGGACCTCAGGGTTAAAAAAGAAACTAACAAATTAAAAGGCCACAGTAGTTGCCATCTTATCACTTTTCAAAGCCTTTTCCATAATTAACTTTCATGTACTTAATCAGTGTTAGTAACCTCATCTAGTTGCTCCATTTCAGTTTTTCCTCCACTTGAAGAATTTGATGTTGATGGCAGATCTTAGATAGTCCATACCTGCGAACTTTTCAAAATCTCCATTGGGGGATTTTAAGCACAAGAGGACCTTATGCTACTCTTTTTATTGTCATAAGTATTGTTTTATCTACTACTATATTGTTTGAATGAGTATGTATGTGCTTAAATACCCTTTTAACTCATTTGATTGCCTGTTTGAAGGTGTTTAGTTTATAAAATAAAGAATATCAAATTTCAGGTCAACACCTCTCATGGGGATATACCCCATAAATTTGGATAGTTGGCTGGGATGATAGTCTTTTACAGATTTATTTCCACCTTCTCTAGTCTTTTAAGGCGATTTAGAGCTTGATAAATGTAGTATAAATCAGGTAGTTTGATTTCTCTTTTGAATTGTTTTTAGTCATAATCGAGCCTTTTATAGCTTCCTATACAGTATCTATTTTGCTCATTGTCGAAGACTGTAGGGTGACCTGTAATTGTTCACATCTTTGACCTTTGGTCTATGGATAGTTGTCCCATTGGCAATCATACCCTACCTCTTGTCCCATTGGCAATCATACCCTATCTCCTAATTTTATATACATTATTATATATTATTTACACTTGTAGATCATTGAAGACACACAATAAAAATAACTTCTACAAGTACTTTTAGGCTTGCGAGTGTTGACTTGTGGTCTCGTTGAGCTATCAAGCATACAACCTGTAAATATCATTGTCCATGAAACTGTGTCAACTTTAAAGTATTTGTCAAGTAGTGCTTTAACTATCATACAAAACACAATTTAACTAATACTAATATTTACTTATTTGATTTATTTCACAGATTCACATTATGCACAAAATAGTCTCTACATTTAAAAATGTGCAACTGTAATTTTCACAAGTAACAAAACAGTTTTTCCACTAACTCTGCATTCTGAGAAAACCATCACTGATTTAATTTAATTTCTCAAAAACTGGCAATTCACGTAACTGATTTGAGTGCGTAATAATTCTGCAGATTTGTTATCACAGTAAAGTCTCTACTTAACAGACATCTTCATACAAAGTCAAACAAGTACCTCATTACCTCAAAGTTCACTGTCCTGTAAAAATAAATATTTGAAACTACTTAATTTTAAAATATTAATTACCGCCAATCAGAAAATAAATAATATAAGATTATAGGAAAAAGGGATATTTGGTAGATGAGCATTTAACAATATAACTAATATAAACATGTGTGTACGCAAAAAATGTTTCTGGTATAATCTTCATTTGGCTTATTCAAGATAAACTGTGGGAAAAGTCATCTTTAATTTTTATTGCTGTCCTTCATCTTGACAAATTCCTGGGATACTTCCATGGCAAGTTTTAGAACACATTGCAACACTAGCACCCAGCATCACTATTTGTTGATCTTGATCCTGCTATCTTATTTCATTGGAATAATTAAATTGGCATTACAGAAAACTACTTTAAAACTTTGGGTTTTTTTTGTGCCATGTTGGTCCTATTAAACCTGTCTTGAGAAAATGTCAGAATCACATTAGGTTATGACATTGCACATGGTTCTGAAGAAGGGGAAATTAATTTCCCAGACTGCTACTTAATTAAGGTAATGAAAGAAACTCATATTTCCTCTTCTAATTGTGTCAAGTATATACTTGATATCTGATGTAATTGGCAATCCTTTAAAGTGTTTAATAAAGTTAAATCATCACGATACACTTCAAACTCAAGAGATATTTCATTAGCAAATCTTAAGACATCAACAAATATTACAATCATGTGACATCTAATGATTTTCAAAGCAAATGTATCATATATTTATTGCAAGTTTAATTTTGTTAATATTTCATAACAAAAGAAATTAATGTAACATAGTACACATATTTCATTTAAATTCCATCTTTCTTCTTCTTACTTTCTTTTTTTCAATAAATATTTTCCAAATCTATATCATATCATCAGTGAATTATCAATAGCCAAAAAAAATACTAGAAACTTGATTTAGTGTGCCGCTAAAGGAACATACATTAGTAACCTAAACTAACCCAATATTGTCCGAAGAAAAGGAGAAATTCTTTTGCTCTTCCAAGACATTTTTAAGATGATATAGAGTCAAACCTGGGTAAACCTGCCCTGAATAAACTGGTTTCCTGTCCATTCCGGCTGAAAATTGAAGTCCCATTTTTCACCTATAGTCTTTATTATACCCTCTGTAAACCGAACATTGTATTTCGAATTCCTGTCTAATTATTAATTATGCCATCCTAATACTCTTAATGACATTAATTATTACCTGTCAAAACCGGTTTGTTTAATCAATTTTACACAACAGTATTGATCGATAAAAACAAAATTGTTAACACAAGAGGGTCTATCAAAATTATCAATTAGCAAGGTGTTTAACTGTCAAATTACAGAAGTGAGCTGTTTTTATTGAAACATTATCAAGTTTTCATTAAAAAAGCAATTGAAAATATGAACGTCAAAGCTGTAAGTTCTGAGGAGCATCTTTTTCTTTCCTAATGACTTAATCCCAATAATCGTCTTAATCGATGCAGAAAAAAATGTATGAAAATCTGCATAAACACAACATACGCTTTTTTAAAAAAATTTATGGGGACATTTCGGTTTAAACAGCAAGTCACATATCTATATCAAGAGGATAAATATCCTTATTGTTTGGATAATTCGGTGGAATCTGCTTCTCTAATGATTTGACTGGTTATAACTGGTTGAAATGCTTGAAAAATAGAGAAAGGTGAAAAAAAAAAATATAACAAAAAAAGCCTAATCAGATTGAAAATTAAACACGTCATGTTCATCCACTTTCAAGGATTACAATAACCTGACTAGAATTAAAGAACAAATAATTTCTTACAGGTAAGAGTTTGGTTATATATTACATTTGGATAACTGACTTTGTTCTTTATCTCATGCTAATTTCTCACTACAGCGAAACAAAAAAAAATCACATATGGTCATAGATGTTTTTCCAGTTTTTTATCAACATTTTGGAAAAATTAATTTAATTTTTGAAGAAAACATCACATCATTCATAAATTAACTTACCTTGAAACAGATTTTATAAAGTCTAAGGAGACAAGACACTTATATTTTGGTGAATCAATCTGATCATCACTTGCAACATGTCCTAATAAATTCAAACTAACTAAAGATGATATCTGTAAAAAAAGTACTTGATTTCATATTATTCAAAAATATAAAGGTCATTCATTATCATAATATTTTAATAAAAATATAAATTAAAGAATCTTAAGTGAGCAAGCTTACATACCCCACACCCCACATAAAGGGGAAAGGCCTATATTGCCCTGATGAAATGTTTTTTTCTGTTTACAATAAGATACACTTCTTTTCAAGTTTGATACCTTATATTGTATACACAAATCTGCTTTCATTAACTATGAACTTGACCTTAGACCTACTGTCCTAAAAATCATCTTCTTCTTCTTACATGTCACTTATATCCATGTTAGGTTGAAACGGCATGTGAAGTAGTTGATTAAACCTCTGGAAACCGATTTTCTGCAAACTTTTTTAGTAACTATGGCCTAGACCTTTCATGTGGTGACCTAAACTAGTTGCTCTAAAGAGCCTGTGTTGCTCACCTTTATCTTCAACAATATCCACTTTTTAGTAAAAATCAGCATTAAAGGGGAACAAATCTATGAAGAGTTAACTGACAATTTCAGTAATGTTGACATATTTGTAGATCTTATCCTGCTGATAACTTTTCCTTTTAAAAGTTTCCATTTATCTATAAAAGTTTTCAAGATAATAGGCAAAAAATGTAAAAAATTATCATTAAAGGGCAATAACTGCTAAACAAGTCAACTGAAGATTTCAGCCATAATAACTCATTTGTAGATCATCTTGCTGATCATTTGTGCTTTTTAAAGTTTCTATTTATCTATTACAGTTTTCAAGATATAAGGCAATAATAGGAAAAATCGTCATTGAAGGGCAATAACTTCAATGACTTATTTGCAGATATTGTCATGCTGATCATTTTTGCTATTTAAAGTATCTATCTATCTAATATAGTATTTAAGATATATCTAAAGGCAAAAACGCAAAAGAAATGGTAAAAATCATCATTAAAGGACAATAATTCTTAATAAGGAATCATCTGACAATTTTGGTCATTCTGACTTATTTGTAGATCTTGTCTTGCTGATCAGTTTTGCTTTGAAAGTTTTTGTCTATCTACTGTGGATTCATTTATTTTCGTGGGTATCAATTTTCGTGGATAGAGAAAAAAAGACGTTTCATGGTATACGTAAATTCGTGGATCGCTGATAACAAAAAAAAAAAAAAATCCAATACGTAATTCGTGGATTTCTTTTTAATTTAGGAGATCATATACCCTCCTTGGTTTGATCAATAATAAAACAAACAAAAAAGAAAGAATTCATTGAAAAGGTTTTGAATTGTCAAAATCCTCGCTTGGTCATTCTAGGTTAAAGTGTTCATTGAAAACTTCTATTACAATAATGGACAGAGACAACTAATTATTTGTTTGTTTTACAATTTATAAATTCTTGTCGGAATTTTATAAGGCATTTAAAACTCTATGATCGAAAGCTCATTTCCCTAATCACGATATAATATATAAGTATAAGTAAAAGGTGTGAAAATAAATGTTCCTGTCATAAATAATATTACCTACGGGCAATATCCCCGAACCGTTAATCCTATTGATTTTTAATCACCAGTAAACCAAACTATGACACGGTAATTAACAACTTGCATTTATTTTCCATGAACAGTTTAAATCAATTTTAAAAAGTAAATTGTCACTGATATTCGATATATTTATTATTGATTTAATCAAAATACTTGTATCTTCTTTCAAGAAAAACACGTGTTATGTTACAATGTTTATCGTTAGTCAACACTATACTAGAACTGCATAACATAACTGGAAATAAACATCCGACTCCATACACATTTCTCGGGATTATTCTTCGTTGAATTCTTAAATTCGTGTTCGCTGTGACCCACGAAACCCACGAAAATTGGTATACCACGAATAAAAATGAATCCACAGTATTATAATTTAAGAGATAATAGGAAAAAATTTTGAAACAAGAGTGCACACGCTGAAATGTCTCGCCTGCTTTACTGACCATTGATTTTATGTTAATAGTCCTAAATATAAAGCTTAACTACAACTTCAAGTATCACATAAACTTAACATGAACTAAGAAAATCAGGTCAAGGTCAGATAAACCAAACCGGAAATACATGTACACCTTACAATCATTCAATACACCAATTATAGTTGACCTTTTGCTTATAGTTTCTAAGAAACAGACTTAACCAGGAAAACTTAACATTGACCAATGAATCATGAAAATGAGGTCAAGGTCAGATGAAACCATGCCAGACAGACATGTACACCTTACAATCAATCTATGCATTAAATATAGTTGACCTATTGCTTATAGTATCTAAGAAAGAGATTTAACCAGGAAAACTTAACATCTTCATACAAAGTATGAAACATCCAGGTCTTCCACCTTCTAAAATATAAACCTTTTAAGTAGTAAATTAGCGCCGCCGCCGGATCACTATCCCTATGTCGAGCTTTCTGCAACAGAAATCGCAGGCTCAACTAAATACTATAAGATTTTGACTTAAAACAAACATTAGGCAGAGCTCAACATTCTGAAAATTTTCTATCCTGTCAGAATTTCTCTATTTATAGCGGTTTTCAAAATAATAGTCAAAACTTGTTCTATTTTTAGCCGTGTCAGTCATCTTGGTTGGCAGGCAGGGTCATCAGACACAAATTTTAAACAAGATACCCTAATGATGATTGTGACAAAGTTCGGTTAAATTTGACCCAGTAGTTTCAGAGAAGATTTTTGTAAAAGTTAATAGACGACAATGGACGATGACGAACTCAAAGTGATGAACAAAGCTCACTTGGCCTTTCGGGGAACAGGGATCATCCTCTCATTATACACAACTATATATTCTGTTAAGGTAACAATTCCATATGTAAAATTAGATTTAGCATACGGAAAACACTTTTATAAACACTTTCAGTCTGTTTTTAGTAACTATGACCTTGACCTTCGATGTAGTGACCTAAAAATGAATAGGTCTTGTCCTCTCATTATATGTGACATTATATCCAAGTGTGGTTGCAATCTCACATGTAGTATTTGATTTAGCATCCAAAAACCACTTATTTAAATAAATTTCATTATAATTTTAGTAACATTGACCTTGACCTTGAATGCTATCACCTGACAAGAATGTGTCCATAGTACACAGATGCCCCATTCGCACTTTAATTTTTGCTATGTTCAGTGGACTGTGAAATTTGGGGTCAAAACTCTAATTTGATATTAAAATTAGAAAGATCATATCATATGGAACATGCGTACTAAGTTTCAAGTTGATTGAACTTAAACTTCATCAAAAACTACCATGACCAAAAACTATAACCTGAGGCGGGACAGACGGACAAACGGACAGACGGACGGACAAACAAACGGACGCACAGACCGAAAAAACATAATGCCCCTCTACTGTCGTTGGTGGGGCATAACAATCATGTGAACATGTATCCCAGTATGGCTGCTATCCGATCTAAAGTATTGGAGTTAGCATACAGAAATGAAAATGACTGACGGGTCAAAACTATATTCCCTGTGCTCCTTCATAGCATGAGGTAAAATAATAAAAGAGATGTGGGATATATGTCAAATGTAGCAGCAACTTAACAAAACAAAAAAACAGAAGACATATAGAAATCAACATCTTTTTCTGCAATAGTATGTCAAGCCCTAAATATTTATTTGCAAATCTTTGTTCAAAACTGATTTTTCTGACACTGACAAAAGTTCAGCATATTTTAACAGCAATTCTCTGTATATTATGAATTTCTAAGGAGTTGTAAAAATAGTTGTTCAACACTGATTGTCCAGATATAAATTTTATAAAAATCTGACAAAAAATGTACCTGTATGAGCGCTTACAATGCAATTTTCAATATATTTACATTTCCAAGGGCATAACTCCTCAAAACTAATATATGTTATAATTGGTAAAGGGTTGTAAAATATTAAAGTAAAAGTCTTGACACAGTAATGATATTTAAACACTTGTACTGTTGAACAAAATAAACAAAACAAAAGTAGAACAAACCTGCATGAATATATTTGCTGTAGGAGCTACTCTGCCTTCTACAACAGAATAAAATATAGCCATCATTCTGTCTAGAGCAAATGGTTTTGGTCCAAGCATATGGTTACTGGCCTGAAAATGATGAAACTATATGAATCTATTATTTAACAAGAAATGAGCTGACAAATTGACAGCAAACTGGGTTTTCTAAATTTTTTAAGGTTACTATTGTCGAACTTAAAGAGGGCAGCTAATATGAATGTAACTGATGTATTCTAATGTATGGAGCTTTCAGGCATGTTTGACTAGACACATTCTGTGTGTGCCTATCCAGACATAAAGTGTTATTTTCAAATCTAAAAAGGATCATAACTCTTGAACAGCAAAAGTGAAAATCTAAATATTTCAATATTTCTTTTTGAAGACTGAAGACAATTGAAAAAGCTGTAAAGTTATAAAGGATACAGTCTTGCTTGCTATTGCTGCTGTCAGAGTAAAAGTGTAATATTGACTGCCAAAAACTAAAGTCTATCTAATTTTTCTTCAGAAGCTATTTCCTGATCTTGAAGAAGCTTCTGTCCAAGTTTCATAACATTGCATAAAAGTTATTGATGTTTAAAATATGTAATCCCAGACTGTATCTAAATATTAACTGAAAAAAAAACCAGTCCATTTATCAGTTAGATACAGAAAAAAAATTTAATAATTCTTTCAAAATTTTGAATTAGCCATTAACTTGTTAATCAAAAGTAATTAGAAGAAAGCTTCTGCCAAAATTCCATAAAATTCTATTAAGTTTTGACAAAAGTTATTTAAGTCTAAATGTTAACTGCAAAATAATTAAGTCCTTTTATCATTAAATACAGAAAAATGAAGAAATTTTTTTTTTTTATTTTACTCAATTATGTCTTTTGGTCATAAAAAGATTCTGTCCAAGTTTGGTAAAAAATACACGAAGGGTTGAAAAAAGTTATTGATGTCTAGAAACTTTAATCTAAGACTGTTTCTTAATGTAAACTGCTTAAAAACTGCATTTATCAGTAAAATACAGAAAAATACAAAAATAAAAATTTAAAACTTTGGTCTTTTGATCATAAAAAAGCTTCTGTCCAAGTTTGGTACAATTTTCATGAAGGTTTGACAAAGTTATTGATGTTAAAAAAAATGTAAAGTCAGACTGAACATTAAAAGTGATGATACCGCTGACACCAATGGAATGTAGGATCAATAAGTCTTGCTTATGCCACACATGTGGCAGGCTCCACAAAAAAGCTGACAATGTTTTGGACCTGAACTGCAAATTTTTGACACATGTTGTTGATAAGGGAACAAAGAAAAATGACAACTTCTAATTGCAATTTATCAATTCTACTTAACACTTTTGATCACCTGCTGAAAGTGGTCAGAAAACAAATCACACCTGTAATTAACACCTGAAACAGTACATAGGTATATAAAGAGGTAAACAAATGTTATCAACATAAATTACCCGGTCTCCACTGAATTGTAAGTACTTAATAAAATTTTGAAGAGAAAAAAAATATTTAAAGTTTAATTTTTAAACAAAAGCTATATTTTTAGTTAAACTTTAAAACCAATGTTTTATTTTTTATTTAAATATACACCAAATGTACACGATATTTTCTCTTATTTTCATTTTTCTGAATCAACATTAAGATTCATTATTGACAACAAAATAGAATTTTGATATTTGTTACAATATTTTTTTTCATTTTCTTGATGGTTTCCATTTTTCTTTTAATCAATTGCATAGGTTTTTTTAAAATTTGGTTGATTAAAAAAAGTCAATCAACTTCAGGATTCAGAATTTTTCAAACCATGTCATTGGTATATTTGTGACCATTTAAATAAGAGCCATTTTATAAATGAATAACATTCATATTTTAATAAGTAATTTTCAAATGTAAGTTTCCCTATTACAGATTTTAAAAATGTTTCTATAATCAAAATAAAAAATGGTAAAAGACAAAATATTTTATTTGTTGTTTGTTGTTATGCTTATTTTGGTTTTTTTTTCAGTTTGTTAAAAAAAAGTAAAATAATATCACAAATATCATTGTGCTTCAATGATATTTTTATCCTTTAAAAAAAGTAACAACTAGTCTCAAATTCCTAGCAACGAACTTTATTTTTATTTGTATTATTTTAACACCTCTAATGCTCATACGTTTACCCGACTTTTTAATTAAATATTTTTCAAAAAAACTTTGGAAATAAATGATAGGTTATAATTGTTCAAGTCAAGATTTCTCAGTTCTTATATCACTTTTATCAAGTATTTTAGATAATGACTTTGATAAATTCAAGAATTTCTGACATTTTCTTGGAACAAGAGCAGAAATACATAGACTGGACAAAATACCATGCTTTCCAATGAAAATATTGACTTGACATTTGAAGATGTTTCTTTTTTGATACTTTTCAGCTTGGGAATTTTTTATTAAATTTTGTATTCTTGAAACTATTTATTATCTTCCTCGCTTAACATCTTTTTCCTTTCAATCTTACAGATATTGCCTACCATGTCAACACAATCTTCATGATGCTGAGGTTTTGTAAGATGGTCATTGTTGACAGAATTTCAATAACCATCTAACAGTACCCACTATCATGCTTGTAAATCATCAGTGACGGAGTGTCTAATCTACATGTCTGAGTGACAAGTGTCCAGTACTGTGAAATGAACTGAAAGAAATGTGAATACCAACAACTATGTCTTTTGTCTGTCACTCTATAACTAGAGGCTCTAAAGAGACCGTGTCGCTCACCTGTATCTTCAACAAAAGCCACTTTTTATTAAAATCATCATTAAAGGGGAATAACTCTATTAAGAGTTAACTGACAATTTCAGTCATGTTCATGTATTTGTAGATCTTATCCTTCTGATCATTTTCCCTTTTAAAAGTTTCTATTTATCTATTTTAGTTTTTAAGATAATAGGCAAAAAATGTAAAAAAAATTATCATTAAAGGGCAATAAATCCAATAACAAATCAATTGAAGATTTCTGCCATTATAACACATTTGTTGATCTTGTCTTGCTAATCATTTGTGCTAATTGCAACTTCTAACAATCTATTACAGTTTTCAAGATAATAGGAAAAAATATGAACAAGAGTACACACGCTGAAATGTCTTGCCTTCTTTATCAATCATTGATATTATGTTGATAGTCCTAAATATAAAGCTTTACTACAACTATCACATACACTTAACATGATCCAAGAAAATGAGGTCAAGGTCATATAAACCAAACAAGAAATAGATGTACACCTTACAATCATTCAATACACTAAATATAGTTGACCTATTGTTTATAGTTTCTAAGATACAGACTTAACCAAGAAAACTAAACATTGACCAATGAACCAAGAAAATGAGGTCAAGGTCAGATGAACAATGCCAGGCAAACATGTACTACAGCTTGCAATCCTTCCATACAACAAATATAGTTGACCTATTGCTTATAGTATTAGAAAAACAGACCAAAACACAAAAACTTAACACTGAGCAATGAACCGTGAAAATGAGGTCAAGGTCAAATAAAACCTGCAAGACTGACAGGTACATCATAAAATATTTCCATACACCAAATATAGATGACCTATTGCATATAGTATTAGAAACAAGAGTGCACACGCTGAAATGTCTCGCCTTCTTTACTAATCATTGATATTATGTTGATAGTCCTAAATATAAAGCTTTATTACAACTGTCACATAAACTTAACATTAACCAAGTAAACTAAACATTGACCAATGAACCATGAAAATGAGGTCAAGGTCAGATGAACCATGCTAGGCAGGCATGTACAGCTAACAATTCTTCCATACAACAAATATAGTTGACCTATTGCTTATAGTTTAAGAAAAACAGACCAAAACACAAAAACTTAACACTGAGCAATGAACCTTGAAAATGAGGTCAAGGTCAAATAAAACCTGCGTGACTGCCAAATAGATCATAAAATATTTCCATACACCAAATATAGTTGAACTATTGCATATAGTATTAGAAAAAAAGACCAAAACTCAAAAAACTTAACTTTGACCACTGAACCATGAAAATGAGGTCATGGTCAGATGACACCTGCCCGCTAGACATGTACACCTTACAATCATCCATACACCAAATATAGTAGACCTATGGCATACAGTATAAGAAAAACAGACCAAAACACAAAAACTTAACTATAACCACTGAACCATGAAAATGAGGTCAAGGTCAGATGACACCTGCCAGTTGGACATGTACACCTTACAGTCCTTCCATACACCGAATATACAAGACCTATTGCTTATAGTATCTGAGATATGGACTTGACCACCAAAACTTAACCTTGTTCACTGATCCATAAAATGAGGTCGAGGTCAAGTGAAAACTGTCTGACGGGCATGAGGACCTTGCAAGGTACGCACATACCAAATATAGTTGAACTATTGCATATAGTATTAGAAAAAAAGACCAAAACTCAAAAACTTAACTTTGACCACTGAACCATGAAAATGAGGTCAAGGTCAGATGACACCTGCCCGCTAGACATGTACACCTTACAATCATTCCATACACCAAATTAAGTAGACCTATGGCATACAGTATAAGAAAAACAGACCAAAACACAAAAACTTAACTATAACCACTGAACCATGAAAATGAGGTCAAGGTCAGATGACACCTGCCAGTTGGACATGTACACCTTACAGTCCTTCCATACACCGAATATACAAGACCTATTGCTTATAGTGTCTGAGATATGGACTTGACCACCAAAACTTAACCTTGTTCACTGATCCATGAAATGAGGTTGAGGTCAAGTGAAAACTGTCTGACAGGCATGAGGACCTTGCAAGGTACGCACATATCAAATATAGTTATCCTATTACTTATAATAAGAGAGAATCTAACATTACAAAAAATCTGAACTTTTTTTTCAAGTAGTCACTGAACCATGAAAATGAGGTCAAGGACATTGGACATGTGACTGACGGAAACTTCGTAACATGAGGCATCCAGATACAAAGTATGAAGCATCCAGACCTTCCACCTTCTAAAATATAAAGCTTTTAAGAAGTTAGCTAACGCCGCCGCCGCCGGATCACTATCCCTATGTCGAGCTTTCTGCGACAAAAGTCGCAGGCTCGACAAAAAAGACAAAAACTCAAAAACTTAACTTTGACCACTGAACCATGAAAATGAGGTCAAGGTCAGAAGACACCTACCAGCTAGACATGTACACCTTACAATCATTCCATACACCAAATATAGTAGACCTTTGGCATACAGTATAAGAAAAACAGACCAAAACACAAAAACTTAACTATAACCACTGAACCATGAAAATGAGGTCAAGGTCAGATGACACCTGCCAGTTGGACATGTACACCTTACAGTCCTTCCATACACTAAATATACTAGACCTATTGCTTATAGTATCTGAGATATGGACTTGACCACCAAAACTTAACCTTGTTCATTGATCCATGAAATGAGGTCGAGGTCAAGTGAAAACTGTGTGAAGGGCATGAGGACCTTGCAAGGTACGCACATACCAAATATAGTTGAACTATTGCATATAGTATTAGAAAAAAAGACCAAAACTCAAAAACTTAACTTTGACCACTGAACCATGAAAATGAGGTCAAGGTCAGATGACACCTGCCCGCTAGACATGTACACCTTACAATCATTCCATACACCAAATATAGTAGACCTATGGCATACTGTATAAGAAAAACAGACTAAAACACAAAAACTTAACTATAACCACTGAACCATGAAAATGAGGTCAAGGTCAGATGACACCTGCCAGTTGGACATGTACACCTTACAGTCCTTCCATACACCGAATATACTAGACCTATTGCTTATAGTATCTGAGATATGGACTTGACCACCAAAACTTAACCTTGTTCACTGATCCATGAAATGAGGTCGAGGTCAAGTGAAAACTGTCTGACGGGCATGAGGACCTTGCAAGGTACGCACATACCAAATATAGTTATCCTATTACTTATAATAAGAGAGAATCTAACATTACAAAAAATCTTAACTCTTTTTTCAAGTAGTCACTGAACCATGAAAATGAGGTCAAGGACATTGGACATGTGACTGACGGAAACTTCGTAACATGAGGCATCCATATACAAAGTATGAAGCATCCAGACCTTCCACATCTAAAATATAAAGCTTTTAAGAAGTTAGCTAACGCCGCCACCGGATCACTATCCCTATGTCGAGCTTTCTGCGACAAAAGTCGCAGGCTCGACAAAAATCGTCATTAAAGGGAAACAACTTCAAAAAGAAGTCTACTAACAATTTTGGTCATGTTGACTTATTTGTAGATCTTGTCTTGCTGATCCTTTTTGCTATTTAAAGTTTATATTTATCTAATATAGTTTTTAAGATATTAAGCAAAAACACAAATAAATGGTAAAAATCGTCATTAAAGGGTAATAACTTTAATAAGAAGTCGACTGAAGATTTCAACTTTGTTGACTTATTTTTAGATCTTATCCTGTTAATCGTTTGTGCTATCTAAACTTTCTATTTATCTATTACAGTTTTCAAGATAATAGGCAAAAATCCTCATTAAAAGGGAATAACTCTATTAAGAGTTAACTGACAATTTCAGACATGTTCATGTATTTGTATATCTGGTCTTCCTGATGATTTTTGCTATATAAAGTTTCTGTCTATCTATTATAATCTTTTATGGGCAATAACTCCTGTAAGAAGTTGTCTGAGAGTTTTGACATAAATAGACAATTGGTAGAGTTTAACTTTCTGAACATTTCTGCTCCCTGTCAGAATTTCTCTAATTACAGAGGCAGGGGTCACCACACTTCAGAATTATAGGGCGAAGTGACTTCTCCTTGGCAGCCAAACAGGGAGAAGTGAAGACCCAACAGGGAGACTTCTGGGAGAAATGAAGCCCCAACAGGGAGACTTCAGGGAAAATTGAAGGATCGTGTTAATTCTTTTTAAGAATCAAATTTTCCAAGCATCTTTAACTTTTTGTTATTTTTCAAAGCATTTTTGTATGACAACTGCTAAGGTGGTATTTCCTTGCCTTGCTATGCTTGTGGTCTGAATTACATTTGAACCTACAGACGCAAATTGTCAAAAAATATCATAAGGACCATAAGAGTTACGGTTGTGCAGCTAGGTCTGAATGAATTGAAGATTTGACATTGGTCAAATTTTGCCGCATCAATTGTGTTTAATAACGTTAAATAAAGCAAAAACCCTTTAAAAAAATAATAATCAATTGATAAGTAAGTTAAAATATCTTGAATACGGTTTCACTGTCTCTCATTCAGGGGTTAAAAAATCCACTAGCCCGACGCCCGGGACTAGACTTTTACACTTCGGGGAATTAAAACGTGTAACCGAATATGCCCGACGGACTAGTAACAAACAATTCTTGGCATTTCCAAAATAGTAAGTGGAAAATCCCCTCATCACTATTCTATCTTAGCCAATCTGATTCAATTACGTACGTCATCCGGGATTCCAAGAATTTGAACCGATTTTGTACATGTTTTAAAAAAGAACAACTAACTCTGGGTGGACCGGTATCATGTATTGATCGCAATTCACGTACTTTCAATATCAATTTCTCAGTACAGGGGGTATTGTACATTGCTTATGCTGAGATTTTCAATTAATGGTACTTGGGTGTATGATGTAATGATCGATATTGACCTGTCTTGTCGGACAGCTGTTAATTTGAGCTTGAAACCATTCACAAATTATTTCTAAACATTTTAGTACGGCCACCACAGGAACTTTCTCAGTTTCAAAACGAAAAACAGTAGATGAAGGGGGTAATGAGGCTGAAAATTTATCCCAAAAAATGCCAAATACGACCAGGAAAAGCGGAAAAAAACATTTATAGTGTCATGGACAGAAAGATTCCCCTTGGGCAAGGTCGACTGTTACTGATGATAAACAAGAGATGATGTTTTGTGACTATTGCCGTTATTTTCCTGATCACGCTGATAAAAAGTCTGCTTTGTATGTGGGAACAACAAATATACGAATTGAAACCACTGGTTTCACATGACAAGATCAATGAACATGTTTTCTGTGCCCGAAAATATTTAACAACCCATAGTACAAGGGATATCCAAAAAGATGTCTAGAGATCCTTGTTATAATTAATAAAACAAAACTTTATTTGATTTATTTTATCAAATACCGTGTATAATGCCGCATTCAAAACAAGGGACACCCACTCTAAATTTGTAAGGTATACTCGGGCTAGCAGGTCAGTTTTGATGGGCTAGCAGCTCTTTCAACAGGGCTAGTAAAATCCTGCTACCAATAAGTCCTCGGCTAGTGAGCTGTAACAAATTTTTTTAACCCCTGTCATTGCTAAGATCATAATTAAAAAATATATTTGTTATTTAAATCATTTTCAATAAGAATTCAGAAAGAAAAACTGTTTGTCACTTGTCTTAAACATAAAGTTAAACTGTTAATTTCAAACAGTGTGTGATTGTTTGCGGTATTTTCATTGAAAAGACTGTTTCCCAGCATTAAGATGCTGTTGGAAATGCATATAAATGATTCTAGAACACTTCACGAGTGTTAAAACATGACAAAATCACAATAGTAACATCAAAAAAGTTATATTTTTCATTAACGGAAATTGAATAAGTACTTGTAAATTGAAAACAAATACGGTGCGAGACGTGGTGGAAAATTTGTACGTTATAGTTTACAAAAACATACGACTTTGGAAGTAAAATAGTGCCGTCCTTAAGTGAATAAATGTTATAGTATTCATCAAAATATTGTTTAAAGGACAAGCACATGCAGCAGTCTGTAACACCAAATCTGAACGAAAAAAACGAATATGTTTTGTAGTTTATAAATCGTTGTGCTGGTTTCCGGCTGACTAATAAACTTTGTACGTAGTTAAGGTACAAGTGGATTCCAGTTTACATTATGCAACATTTGAAAAGAAATGAGAAATTTTTAATGAAGCATCAAATTTTGATATCTATCAGTAAATATAAGATAATCAAAATTAAAATTGCATATTAATATGGATTAGGTAAATGATAAGAGTTTTGAAAAGATAAAAGGGCGCCCTCTACAATTTCAATATGAATAACAAAGATGGCGGACAATAAACAAACGTCGCAAAATCAAGTTTTTTCCTTGTTTCTAGCTTATTGTACATTCTGTCAAGCAATTTTAATGTTGGAGTATAATACCGCTGACAAATCAGTTCTGAATTCGGGGAAAACATATTTTGTATTTCGTCAATTATCAGGTCGTTTACCTTTGGCTTGAGAATTTTTCAAAAATCAGGATGCAACATAAACTTCTCCCTGGGGATTCTCTAGAGCGAAGTGGGGAGTCCTAGGGCAACTATGTCGCTCACTTCGCCTGGTGTGGTGACCCCTGATAGAGGTTTTCAAAATTATAGGGAAAACATGCATTTTACCCTTTTCTATTTTTAGCCATGTCGGCTATCTTGGTTGGCAGGCAAGGTCATTTGTCACATTTTTTAGATACCTCAATGATGATTGTGCCCAAGTTTGGTTAAATATGGATTTTTGTAAAAGTTAACTGACGACGATGGCTATGGAAGATGGATGACAGACGCCAAGTGATGAGAAAAGCTCATTGGCCATTCGGCCAGGTCAGCTAAAAATAATGGTCAAAGCCCCATAACTCTGTAAAAATTTGTCAAATCAAACTGACAATAGATCATGTTCAAGAGAATATGACAACAAATAATCCAACCAAGTATAAAAGCTTTAAGTCACATGGTCTCCAATATTGTATGTTTTGGACAACAGACAGAGACCATTACCATATCCCAAGCGGCACAACACACAGGACAGTGCAAGATTGAGACCAGTAATTACAAAGCTTAGCCTGTATATCATACTTTTTGTGGATTCAGCATTCACAAAAATATGTCTAGTTGTTTCTTCCAAAAAATCAGTTTACTTACCCTTTCATGTTTCTTAAGTAGTTTTGACTGCTTACTCATTTTTCCAGCATGCTGTAAAAACAAATTTGAAAAAAATTATTGATTTTAATTATGTGACTACACATTTTAATTTTATCTAGACCAAAATGTTTTTTTGATCTTGGTCCCAAAAGTCTTTAATAGCTAATGTGTACAGCACAACCAATAATCACACAGGGTTTGTATTTTGTTCTCATCTATTTCTATGCAAAAAATTACCATTGATAAGAATCTCTGATTAATGTCTGATAGACTGATTACCTTGGCAAAGAATCTCTTGTCAGTTTTAGCTGGGTTATATGATGCTAGATAAGCTGCTATCAGTAGAAACTTGGAGTAGTATGGTAACTCTACATGTGATCTGGATGACAGCCCTGAAGAAAAACATAAAAATAAAACTGATAAACATGAATTAAACATGCAAATTTAAACCAAAATCTAATTTGCAAATTTGGACACTAGTGGGGAACATGCTATAATATATCTATACAAAGGTATTTATGGGAATATGCACATTGTTACTAATGTCATAGATAAAATCTGTCATATGTCTCAAAGGGAAGTCTTTTGTTTTGTGAGATAAAAAACTAAACTGAATAAGCATAAAAAATCAGATGGAATCAACATCTGTCTTTGGTGTGGGCTAAAGTAATATTTTAAATGGATAAAGGTATGGTGAGCAATTTCTTCTATGCATGTTGTAAGAACATTCTATTTTAGAAATTGTATTACTAAGTATTACCTTGCAAAGCAGGGGGTTGTCCAGCTTCTATTGACTGCTGCATTTTCTCCCACTGTGAACTATAAAACAAACACGATGTTAAAAACTAGAAAATAAATTTTGAATGAACAACATTTTTGACTAAAAAAATTGAAAATATTAAGTACCGTTAAATTCGTTAAATAAGCCGCAGGTTTTTTTCTCTGTCATTGTCCCTGCGTGTTATACTCAGGTGCGCTTTGTGTATGTATTTTTTTCAGTTTCAGGGCAAGCGTGAAAAAAAATATATATCTGGATTTTATTTTATGGAGACCGTCAGATTGTCAAGTGCTTGCAGTGACTTGATAAATTGTTCATGTGGCATATTTTGTTATGAATAAAAATATATATACTTTATCATTTGTACTTTATTTCATTGTTGGCTTACGAAGTTGATAACCATGTGTTTATTACATAAACAAAGAAAGATAACCGTGTTTGAAAGAGGTACCATACAGGATATTAATTGTGTATTTACAATAAATATGTAATTGTTTGTTGTTGTAATGTGTTTTTCAATAAAATATTCTTTAGAAATAATAAAGGTAGTGATTGTGTTTCTTTCCAATATTTCAAGTCTCTTTTAATGACGATGGTGATAACCATGTGCTGAAATAAACCCTTCAAAGTGTTTCATAAACAAAGAAAGATAAGCGTGTTTGAAAAGAGGTACCATACAGGATATACTATTGAGGAGTAACTGCTTATTGTTTTATTGTTTCAAAATGAAATATCTTTATGAAATATTGTAGACACATATTGGTGTAAGAAATAAAAAAAATGAATATTAATTTTCATAATTCAATATGCTAAGACATTTATATATTGCCATCTTATTTGAATTCCCCTTTCCGTGGCCCATCTCACTTTCAGTTAAAAATAGACAATGACTTGCAGAAACTGAATGGTTTTGTTGTAGTTTTCAACCAAGTTTAAATTGAAAAATGTTTGTTACTTATAAAACTTAAACTTTTATTTTATAAACAACAATAAAATTCTTTAGATTTAATTTAATAATTTTTTTTCCTGACTTATGGGTGAACAGTTTTCACACGTGGGTACAGGTAATTAAGTAGGTCATAATCAAGGTAAACAATGGCAGTTTTATGGCTTGGGTAACTTTTAATGAATACCTTTTCAAGATTAATTAAAATCCTTGATTCCAATTCAAACAATAAATGAGCAATCAACACCGAACTAATTTTAATCAAAACAACAAGGTTCAATGGACACCCAAGCTGTCAACACATGGCCATTGTTGACAAAAAACAACTAATGAATCTGGCATGATTAAAACAATAAGAAAATTATAATAATTTTATTAACATTTATTTATTTTAATATGAAACAAATAAATATATACAAAATGTCTTTCAACTTTCTCAACAATCTGAAAATAAAAATGAAACATGTTACGGAGTGAGTTACAAGAAGGAGTGAACATTCATAAGGTAAGGTCAGTAGAATGCATGTACGTTTTCTTCAGGGTGCGCTTTATATGCAGGTGCGTTTTATGTAAGGAAAAAAACAATCCTCACCCCCCAAAAACGGCCGTGCGCCTTATTTAGGGGTGCGCTTTTTAATCCGGAAAATACGGTAATTGTTAACTCTCAAAAATAGGAAGTCTTTTTTGGAGCATGTATTGCTCACCTAGCTAATATGCATCACATTTTATCAATTTCGGTATCAAAAGTGTAAAATTATGTCCTCATAAGGCAGAAGCATTACAACATGCTATTTTGAACTAAGCAATCACCCAGAAATTTAATTAGATTGAATTCCCCATGTTTTTTTTGTTAAAAGACTTTTTAGGTGAACCATCTATTATATTGAATGTAATGCATGGTCATTATGAGTATATCTAGACAGCCTACTATCAAGCAGTTAGCAATATTTAAAAAAGAGTTATCCTTCTTGGTGCATTGAATAATATGAAATAAATTGATATAAAAAGGAAAAATCTGACATAAATTTATATGTGGTTCCTTGCATTTGAAGTAATTTAATCATGGTAAATAAAAATACAGCATAAAAGTTTTTCCTAAGCAAGTAAAAGCACAAAATAAAATGTGACCTACCTCGATACTTCTCTAAGGTAAACAGTCTGTAATGCCTTTTTAAGATGAGGTTCAATATTCTTCCACAATTTTCTAGTATCTTCAGCAGTTGCTGTAAAAATAAACATTCAAATACAAATAATCAACTTTCCTTCTATCACAGTTCATCACACACTCAGGAATATACATTTAAATGATGTTTAGTCTGGTAACAGGTTCTGCTTTCCAGGACAAAATGATAAACAAATATCAAGATTTTTGTAAATATAAAGGAACTTTTTTTCTAAATAATTCATATAAATGTAAGAAAAGGTTGCTTTTTGGTTAGACCAAATGTTGGATTGAATTCAAAATACAATCTGAATCAGTGCATCTAATAAAGACAGAAAGATTATTTTGATCAAGTACTTATTGTAACTAAAAACATTAATGGGGGGATACCTTTTCTTGTTTTCTTGAATTTTTCCAAAATAATGTAAAAAATTATAATTCCTTCTCTCCTCATCAACCATTTTGTCAACACAAATAAATATAATTTTATATTATAATTAATTTAAATTGTTATATATCTGTATAGTGTCATGAACAATAATCAACAATATTTTTTTTTGTTCAGCTTTAATCTAAACCTAGTCAAAAGTACAAACCTTCACCTGTCTTCACTGGCTCAGCATACCTTTGAAAATTCAACCTTGCCTGAAAAAATTTGAAATGATAAGAAATAAAATAACTTTTAAACAAATCAATTGAGCAATGGATGTGACCACGCAATACACAGTAAAGCATGCTCACATGAAACTTGGAACTAAATATCAGGGATCCAATTTGAAGTTCCTTGGGAAATGCTATGAGATTTTAAACATGGTCATTAAGGAATAGTGTGAAAGTATTTAGTAAACAGGATGTTGATGAGTGATGAATGTCAAAAACTTTTCTCTGAATATTGGTATTACATTCTTGTCAGTGTATATTTGAACTAAAAGACAAATGATGAGGGTCCCAGTACTAGTTTATGAGATATTTAAACCTCAATTATCTGAATAAATTTCCTTGGCAACCATAAACCTCCCCTGCTATTGTATTTGAAGCCCTCAGGACAATTTTCAGATTGAAATACAGATTCCTGTTTAAATTGCTCATCAGAAAATGCAATCCCTTCAAATTTTCTAACAATGACTTGAAACAGCGAGTAGTAGATAGAAATACAGAACTAACATGACTAAGGGGGAAATCTCATAAAACACAGTTTGAGAATAAGTGACTACATACCAAATGATGTAGCTCCTTCAAATTTCTGCACACCATCTGAAACACACTCAGAACTAGGTTTAGATACATTCTGTAGAAATTCTCATCATATTCAGTTGGATGATCAAGCATCATTATTTCTATAAGTTGGTCTATTGAAAAAAAATTCATTGCCAAATAAACTCAAAGTTTGTTCTCACATTTTTATAATTACTCTATCACTCAAGACACTCAGTAATGAGAATTATTACAGTAAATATGAAATATTGCAAGCATTTATGACTGATGCTCATTGATAAATATGAGCTTAATAAATGTCATTTCATGTGATATTTCACACAAATTATACAATCAGAATTCAAAAAGAAGTTTTCAGTGATGTGAAATTTGTCTTGTCACATTATTAACAAATAAATGGAGAATGTGTCCATGCCTCAGCTTGCATATACATATAAAGGGACATAACTATTCAAACTTGAATTGAGTTTTGAGATAAGCATTGTGTATATGTTTCATAACAGAAACGAAAAATTCAGCATTTTTTCCATATATAAAGGGGCATAACTCTAGAATGGTATAAGAAATGCCACCCAAATTTAAACTTGATCAGAGTTTTTGTGGTAATAAGCATTGTGTATAAGTTTCATAACATTTGGTTGAGACAAACTAAAGTTAGAGATCTGAAACTAATTTTGGGACCTACATACAGACTGACGGACATACGGACGGACAGACAAGGATAACACTGCAGCAGAGGCACAATAAAAAATACTGAATTCATAATATGCATCTTTTATTTTACACAATAATGTATGATGAATATTTACCCTATCTTTTTTCAAGTATATAAAGGGCTTATACATATTATGGAATATTGTACATTTACACTTGCAAAATTGAAATTTTTAAAGTAATCTGCAGTTGTTTTAATCCTTTTCCATTAGTGTTTGTGGAAAAACTGTCACTTTAAAAATCCTACCTCATCTATTTTATTTTTAATTTTTTGATGACACCACAAGAGTATAAAATACAATAGATTATCAAATCAAAGTCCCTAAAACATTAATACTGTTATACTTGCCATTTGTGTAGTCAGAAAAATGAAGAACAAATGGTTCACAGTAGCCTGACCCTGTTCTGAATTTCTCCCAAACTATCTCTGACAATAAAATAACACAAACATTTTGCTGAGTCTACAAAGAACAAAGTCATTGAAATCAATATAAATCAACACTCTTCTTAATAAACAAATGTAGTACCAGGTAACTATTTGGATGACCTAACATATTTTATATTTGTGTCAGATTTTCTGCTGTCACTTCCAGCCCCAATTCCTTACATCTATATATTAAAATTAAAATGGTTTAAGCACTTATTCTTAAAATTTTACATCAACAAAATTAAAGGGAGGGGGGGGGGGGGGGGGGGTAAAATGATCAAAAATTGCATTATACTAATCAAATAAAAGACAATGGACCTTTAATGAAAACATTAAAAAAACATTTGGTTTAAAAATTATATAAAAATCTGTTTTGATTTTTAATACTAAATTTTAAGCAAGTGAAATTTGAAAATTTTGGTCAATCAATGAGACCAGTCTTGAAAAAAAACCCACACCATTCATCAAAAAATAATCTTTCAAGACTATTGATCTCTAAAGATGGGTCACCATTCTTAAAATTATGTGTATGGAATTTCTGTTTATATTTTATGCATAATCAAAATCTTTCCCTATATCTGTGTAACAGTAATAAGGTTTATTCTATGTGAAATAGTAGTTTTGACAGATTACAGTGATCTAAAAGAAAATATTTGCATATATTTTTAGAACGACATCTACTTGTTAAAGTTGTGGTTTAGTCTCTGTTACATTTACCCTACACCTTCTTTTATTCTTGTGTACAATATAGCATCTTACCAGTTCTTGTAACCTGAGAAATGCAGGCAGGATATTCATTTCCATTTCTCTAAGTCTTTCTGCTTTGTCTAATACCTGAAAGTAAACAATGTCTTACATTATAGATATTTTTTATTGTAATATTTTTCTTTCAAGTAAAATTTCACTCTTAACTAATGTAAGAGCAATCTTACAAATATACATGGAGCTACATATGTGGTTAATACATAAGACATTTTTCATGTCCCAAACGTTGCCTAGTTTCGGACTCCAGGGGCCCCCTTTTTCAAAATCCTGGATCCACATCTGGCCTTCTATTAATTTCTTGACATTGGTACTATCCATGGTATATAGTTAATATGTCTAACATCCTGAGAGAAGACTCAAACAGATCTCAGTAACTGAGCTTCTTATTCTTACGGAAAATCTGGATTTAAAAATCTTTTTGAAATCATTACACAATAAAGTTTTGCTAATAGCAGTTATGTTTCATTGAATTTTTCATTTTCTGATTTTCTAATATTGCTGTTCATTTCTACCTAATTGATAATATAAAATGCTTCAATTTGTTCTGTCAACTTGCACTGTCAATGGTAATAAGGCACCGGAGAATATATCCAAGGAAATTCTATCCAATAAAAGGAAAATATCCAATAGCAAAGATTCAGTTTGTGGAGAGAAGAATTTCCAGTACTACAAAGTTTCCAAGAAAATTGTGCAAACTTTTTGATTCAATTATCTTTGCAAAAAGAGCAGCAAGACTCAAAATAATGAGCTACAGCAAACAATACAGGTCAAGCCTTCACTATTAATTTTCTGAAGTTTCACTACCAATACCACTCAATTATGAAAACTAGTTTAGGTTCACTTACAATGTAGATAGTTTCTTTGTCAATCCCCTTTTCTTCTGAGACCTGCTTAAACATTCTAACGAAATCATTCATATTATCACACTTCACTAAATCAGATGATTCTGTGACACTGTTTCCATGGAGACTGTTTAGTATCATCTCATATAGAAATCTGGAACTGTAACACTCAACACAGTTTACCAAAACATGAGGCAACTAACAAAATAAATGAAAATTAATAACAGTAGTGATCCGAGGTTGTGTAAATACATATATCTCAATGATCATCGTATAAGAAAGTCAACATTGTCAAATCAGTTCTACATTGGTAACACTTATAATTAGATGAGTTTTTATAACCACTGGGTCGATGCCACTGCTGATGGACATTTCGTCCCTGAGGGAAACACCAGCCCAGAAGTCAGCACTTTTGTGCTGACATGAAATATCATTGATATGTTCATTTACTGTCAATAAAATGTTGAAATATTCAAAACAATAAGGCATGTATTGTTATAGACATATCTACACAACTTTTTCAAATTTTCAGTTACTAATGCTCTTCAACTTCTGTTTTGGTTCAAGTGTCATTGACGAGTTTTGTGTAGATGAAACACCTGTTTGGCGTATCAAATTATAAGACTGGTATCTTTGATGAGTTTTTAAAAATAAATTACCATTGAATTAGAAATGTTTAATGCCAAGAAAAAGTTTCAAAGAATTCAATGGAAATATAAGAGTGTAATACACTTTTGCTGGTTATGTTCAAAGTACATCAACTTTACAATTCTTTTTTCCATATGTACATTTAAAATACAAGAAAAAGAAAAATAAAACCCCAAAATGAAATGAATGTAGAATATCATTTGTATTATTGTTTCTCACCTTTAAATGATTAAGAATGTTAGTAGTGACTGCTGTCTTTCCTGTACCTGTGTGTCCATAGATGAACAAACTGGCATATGTATACTGATGTCTCTGTTAAAAATACAACATATCTATATATATAATCATAAACATGCTGGAACTGCTAAATCAAACGCAACAAACGTCCAAGTACATTTTGTGCTGTTTATAACTGTTATGATAACATTTGTTGATAAACAAATCGATGAATCATATCGCAAGTGTCAAAAATATAAAAGTCAAATGCTTTTAGAAATGCATTTAGTCATTTTTTATTTACACGAGTCAAAGTAAATGCAATTAGAAATGCATGAACAAATGATGAAAGCAGTTTTCATTTAAAAATGTAAAATTAGATCCAAGTGCATTTTTTTTAATGACAGAGATGGAAAGACAAGAAGACAACTTGAAAGACAGATATTCAAGACCTTATTCCTTCATTTTAATGTAATCTAAATGGTAGAGATCTAATTTCACTCACCTGTCCAAACAATGACATCAACAAATTAATCTGTGATTGTCTGCATGGAAATGTTTTGTTAAGATCTTCTTTAAAATTGTCAAATTCCGCCATGTTTTTTATTTAAGTTATATCTGAAAGAGGAACAACTACATATGTATGATACTTGACAGGTGTCAACATAAGCAATTTGCTACAAACGAGGTCAAATAAATCAGATATCTTATAAATCATATATCATAAGGTATAAAAGATATCTTATTATTTAAGTATAAAAGATATCTCATAACTTTAAATTGTATGTGCTCTGTTTGTATTTATTGTCTGCTTTCATTAAAATAAAAGCTTAAAAGAATTCATGACATTCAATCAAAAACTAACACTGGTGACTTTTAAACATTGATTAAAAAATTATATTACATTAGAAGTTTATTTTTAAACATAATAAGAATTTATAGAAGCAGGCAAGTTCATCAAGATGTCATTATAATTTAGTGGATACATCCAACATGGCGAGTTTAATAAAATACTTTTTTCACTCAATCATTGCTTTAAATCTTTTGTAAAAGAAACTGTATGAATTTCTTGATTATTTAGACTAATTCAGGAGTGCAATCCCAGACCACTTCATAACAGACATGAATACCACTGATACTCCCCTCTAAAGACAAGCATAAATGAAAATATTCATGTTTTTTTTGTTATTTAATGTTTATTTATTCAGTGTTATATCAAGTCTCACTATTTTTATTATATAACACCTTTGATAAGTGTTTGGTATGATGATAAATTTTCACTTTTGTTCTCGTACTAGGAAAAACAAAATTATTTATTTTGTAAAAATTATTACCGTACTCCATGTATACCTTACAACAAAATTATTTTTATTTACCTGTGTAAGTTATTTTATTTGGTGGCATTTTGTCCAAGGTTATGATCGTCTTTCTGATATAGTTTTACATCTAACCCCCTTGTTTTATTAATTTTGTATTTACATTGTGTCATAGATCAAATTTATTTGTTCAGTGTATGTTCACTTGTTTTTGTTAATATGTCTTTCAATTGAGTTAAGCCATTTCAATTGAAATTTTATAGTGTGTCTTTCTATGTTGTGAAGTTACACTATTGTTTCAGGTAGGGTGAAGGTTGGTGCCTATTAAAACGTTTAAACCCGCTGCATTTGTTTGCACCTGTTCTGTGGTTGTCCTTTGTGGTTGTGGTTCATAAGTGTTTCTCGTTTTTTATATAGATTGGACCGTTGGATTTCCTCTTTGAATGGTTTTAATCTTGTCACTTTGGGGGCCCTTTATAGCTTGCTGTTTGGTGTGAGCCAAGGCTCTGTGTTGAAGGCTGTACTTTGACCTATAATGGTTTACTTTTACAAACTGTGACTAGGATGGAGAGTTGTCTCATTGTCACTCATACCACATCTTCTTATATCTGTTCTGAAGGCAGCTTCATCAAAAGAATATCTGTCACAATAATTGCTTCATATTTGGCAAATAACCACTTGTGGATTATAATGCACAAAAAGGACAGCCTCAATTGCTTCAGTCAATCTCTTGAAAGTGGGACCAGGATAACCATGCATTTGAATAGAGACCCTCCCATGAGCATTAGACGGGTTCTCCCATATATGGGGTTTCCACTTAAGAACACAGTTGAAAAAAATTCTGATAAATTCTTTTTACATGTTTTATGTTATATCATAAACTTCTAATGTAATATTATTCATTAATCAATGTTTAAAACTCACAAATATACTCTATAATTGAAATTTGGCAGTGTCTGCGCTACCCCACATGTAGAGACAAGTAGCCAAATTGGCACTGCCTTAAAATTTCAGGTGTCATTTGGTCATTCCCAGTGTTATTCGAATAATGACGCGTCATTCCGTCTTTCAGGTTACTCAGAAAATATCCTAAATGACATTAGGGTTCGTGTAGCTCAGTCTTTAGTTTTCTAGTTGTTTGTCTTTTGGTCCTTTTCTTTTTTTCCATGGCGTTGTCAGTCTATATTCGACTATGAGTTTAAAATTTTATGCCTTTTTGTATCTTTCGCCTCTCGTTTGCAGATTAACAAACTTATGTTTACAGCATCGTACATACAACTTCCCATGTATGTAACCACTGTAACTAGACTTTCAAATGCATGTAACATGTGTAACCCTCATTCCCCATGCGTGTAACCATTTAACCTTATTCCCCATGCATGTAACCATTGTAACCCTCGTTTCCCATGCATGTAACCATTGTAACCCGACTTCCCCATGCATGTAACCATTGTAACCCGACTTCCCCATGCATGTAACCATTGTAACCCGACTTCCCCATGCATGTAACCATTGTAACCCGACTTCCCCATGCATGTAACCATTGTAACCCAACTTCCCCATGCATGTAACCATTGTAACCCGACTTCCCCATGCATGTAACCATTGTAACCCGACTTCCCCATGCATGTAACCATTGTAACCAGACTTCCCCATGCATGTAACCATTGTAACCCGACTTCCCTATGTATGTAACCATTAATGTAACCTGATTTCCCATGCATGTTACCATTGTAACTGGACTTTCCCATGCATGAAACCATTGTAACTGGACTTCCCATGCATGTAATTATTGTAACCCGACTTCCCCATGCATGTAACCATTGTAACCTGACTTCCCCATGCATGTAACCATTGTAACCTGACTTTCCATGCATGTAACCATTGTAACCCTTATTCCCCATGCTTGTAACCATTGTAACCTGACTTTTCCATGCATGTAACCATTGTAACCTGACTTTCCATGCATGTAACCATTGTATTAAACCCTTATTCCCCATGCATGTAACCATTGTAACCTGACTTTTCCATGCATGTAACCATTGTAACCTGACTTTCCATGCATGTAACCATTGTAACCTGACTTTTCCATGTATGTAACCTGACTTCCCCATGTATGTAACCATTGTAACCTGATTCCCCATGCATGTAACCATTGTAACCCTCATTGTACATGCATGTAACCATTGTAACCATCATCCCCATGGATCATTGCAACCCTAAATCACCTAAACCATTGTTACCTGACTGACTTATGTAACCTCACAGCAATGAATAAAGGGGTTACCATGGTAACATGATGGCATAAAGGATTCTTGCATGTGATCCTGATCCTGATCCTAAGGTCAATATTATGACACAACTGTTCTCTTTGTGCTGGATTTTTTTCATCCTGGTAACTTAATTTCTCCGTTAGTATTTTCACACGGTACTTATTGGTTAATTTGTTAGGCGCAAGATCGGGGGTTTTCAGGGATAAATGAATCTTTAAATCGCCCTGAACTTTTTACATATTCTCCAATTATATCTGCTGTTCTTTCGTACGTCTCCTTACTTGCTGGTGCTAACAGGGTTTGAAGATCTATTTTGATGTTTTGAATCTCGAGCTGTCTTTCCATTTCTTCTCTTTCCTGGTGGTATATCGGACAGTTTAGTAGGTAGTGTTCAGTGTTTTCCTCTTCACCACATTCACAGTATGGCGTGAGGGATTGGCCTATCTGATGGCGATATTTATTTAACCTATTGTAGCCGGTTCTGAATTCCGACATGATTCTCCCTATAGTTGGGTTCGGATAATCAAGTGGATGGGTCTTACCTACAATAGGAACTAATTCATGTAGTTGTCTCCCAGTTTCACTTCTAGTCCATCTATTTTGCCATTTTAATTTTGTTGACATCTTGACTGCACTTTTCACATCAGACATTGTTATGACGTTGTCCTGGTCATTTAGATTTGAGGCCTCCTGTGCTGCATCTTTTGCTAACTGGTCCGCTATCTCGTTCCCGGCTATATTAGCATGGCCTGGGATCCAAGATAGGGTAGTTTGTATGCCGCCTCTCAGGAGGGTCCCAATGCATTCTTTGATGTCTGTTATAGTGTCGATGTAGTTCCATGACTTCCAATTGAGAGTCAAGATGCCAACCGCTGTCTGGCTATCTGATAGAATCTTTATTTCAGTGAACTGTTCTCTAAGTGTGCAAATGCAGTGTTCTAGGACCATAAGGATAGCTACGAGTTCTTGGCTTAGCCACAATCAGATGTACATTTTGTGTTTCACATGAAGTCAAAAATGAAGATCACATCAGGCAAAAACCCTTTTGATATTTTGGTACAGAAATGGTTTAAATTATGAAAAATGGCTGTCATAAGGCTAACACTTGAAGCATTTATATAATTACATGCAGTTTTGGGAAGAAATATTTAATATTTTTATTAAATAAATGGTGTTTTAAAACTGTCTAATTTTCATTAATGGTTGCCCTCAAGACATGGTCACCAGTTTCATATTTTTGGCCAATCACAAAGATAACAAAATATGTTTAGAATTATTGAATATCAAACATTTTAATCGAGAAAAAAAATGACAAGAACATGTTTAACTCACAATTATTTCAAACAACAGTAGCTTTCTTTGATCATTACTCTGATCTGATCAAACTATTTCTAAAATAATCTATTTATAACAAAACTTCAAAAAAAAAACCTTTCTTTTGGTGTATAGAACATTAAAATAACTTGATGCATATTCTTACAATAAACAATCAAAGTTAGCAATACAATTTATATGTTTTGTCTACGGACAAGACATTTTATTTATATTTAATTAAATGCATCATTAAAACTTAATTTTGACATAATTGAATATGTTCTCTTGACAAAATAACATACATTTTATCATGTTTATCTATCAAATGATGCTGAACCTCGAGGAAATTGGAAACAAATACATTGTGATAATGTCTACGGACAAGACATTTTATTGATATTTAATTAAATGCATTAGATAGATAATTGTTAAAATTAAGATTAAGTTACCCATTTAATGTTAAGCTGTCTTTTTTAATTTTTGGAAAATATAAAAATGTACCCATGATTCTTTACATATCTCAAAATTTTATTGATTAAGCAAAAATGAAGACACATTCTTTCAACTGAAATCCATAAGTCTGACTGTTTAACTATTAAACTTTTATTAAAACTCAATTTTGACATAGTTGAATGTGTTCTCTTGAAAAAATAACATACATTTTATCTATCAAATGAGGCTGAACTCAAGGAAATTGGAAACAAATAGATTGTGG